GCACTGTTTAGTGAATCAGCATTCAATGCACGGATACGCTTGTTTTCCCGTTAGTTTTGCTGCGTAGGGCCTTCCGTGCATTGAATGCTGATTCACTAAACAGTACCGTAAAGAGCTCGGAGACGTCCCATTTTCTTCAGAAATGTTTTAGCTCTACAGAATGGAGTTTTTGGAACGAATTTTTAGACTGAACTCTGGGAGTTGGTTCTCTGAGATTTGGATTTTCCAGAGATCCTGATTTAAAGAGTTATGATAGAACCCTTTCAAACAGCACAACAAATTCCAAACTCTACAAAGTTTCCTATTAACACATATTGTAAATCTTTCCAAGACGCATCGAATAATGTATGTGTTTTTAGAGATCCTCTTCAGTTTCACAGAAAAAGTGAACAATAGTTCCCTTGCCATAGTCTTGACCTATGGAAAAGTCTAGTATTAAATTCATCAAACCTGCTGGTAGGCTTCGTTAAGTTTCTTATTAACACATGTTGTAGAGCTTTTCATGGCGCATCGAATGATGTATCACGCTACGCTTAATGTAGTACGGTTACCGAGAAATGTTGATTTTACAGTCATACTGACTGTAAAATCTAGTGGTGCTAAACTGTTGCTTGGTTTCAAGTAAATTCTGTCTGGTATATTCGACTGAAAGCGTTTGGAAGGGTCAAAATCATCGAATATGATAATCGGATGTGTTTCAGATGAGGTTGGGATCGATTAGAGGGGTTATTGTTGGTGGGCCGATTACCGTTCTTATGCGGACTTCACCTTTCCGGTACCTACGAATTCGTCCTAATTTACGAATGGGCAAAAGGAAGAAAAGACGCAATTTCTTGATTCGTTTTTGAGCATTTTTGTTAGTTTGCATCACTTCGCATTGAATTATAAATTCGCGAAACAATGGTAAAATGCGAATTGTTGCATCATTTTTACGCCTAAAAATTGCGATTCGTCAATGCGTCTTTAGACACTTTGTCCACACTAATGAAGTATGCCGATAACCATACAAAAATCCCGAGAATATCGATTATATTATATGTTTCGTTTCTTTTTCTTTTTTTTTACAGAATTGAAACGAAACATGTCAAAATAATAAATAATATTGAATCAATACGAATGTCTTATATTTTCAAGTTAAGAGGAAAAAAACGATACATCGCAACAGTTGAATTGTAATTTTCCTCTCATATTCTTCTGTTTGATTAAAAGAAAAGAAACGTTGAAAGTAAATTATTTTTATTTTAATGAAGATTAAATAATTCAACATGTCACATATATGTTTAGCTTCATTTTGACGATTATTAGCCATTAATAAATTATACTTAAGATTGTTTATTCAACATAATGATACACGAGGCTTTTATTACACAAACAGGTGAGAAGTCCATCTGAGATACATAAACTGTCTTGTTTTCATAAGTAAATGAAACAGATGTTTTTTTTATTCCTGGATTTTCAGAAAAAATAAGAGCTGTTCAGACATATTAAAATAAAAAATTTTTATACATCATACACTCCCACACGCAAAACATGAAATTTATTTGATAAAATATACAAACTTTGTAAGTAAAAAAAGCAAAACAATAAGCTCAAAGAATAAACTCTTCTACTTCCTCTACTACTGCTCTGTTATTATTCGGTACTGAACGATTTGCATTTGTCACAATTTTTGGACGTTGTAATTTGTCGCTTTTTGAACTATTTGAATTTGTTTTTATCGATGATGGGGTGATAGTATCGGAAGTGGTCGTTTTTGTTGATTGTGGTGGTCCGAATAACGAATCGAATAAATCAGTTTTCTGTTCTTTCGTCGTATTCGTCGTCGTTTTACTCGCAAATATATCATTCAAATCATGTTGATTTGTTGTTGTTGTAGATGTTTTTGTATTTGTATTAAATATTGATTCAAATGGATCTGTTTTATTCACAAACGTAGCATTGGCTGGTCGTCCTTCATGTAAATTCATTGTTACTAAATCGAAGTCATAGCCACGACTATTTGTACGTTCAAGAGGTTTATTTATTTTTGTCGTTGTCGTTTTTTTATCATCCGCATGGACGATAGATTTCGATGACGATGTAGGTGGTGTGGCAGATGTTAATTTTGCTAATAAATCATCTTTTGTTGTATCTTGTTTTTTATTATTATCATTTGTATCAAACATATCTTGCCACTTTTCATCTAATTCTTTGACAATTTTTTTTGTTTTTGATGACGGTAGTGGTTCAGTTAATGTAAATATTGATGATGTTGGTAAATTATTTCCAACAGCTGTTGAAGTAAATTTACTAGTGGTTTTATTTTCTTCTATAACAGGCGGTGGAGGTTTATTATGAGATATTAGTGGTTCACCACGTTGAATCATTGTTGTTGGATTTATTAGATTATTATTAGTAGATCTTTTATGACTTGAGATAATACTGCTACCTTCATTTTCATCGTTACTTTTTTCAGCAACACTTTCCGGTGTAGATAAACGACGAGGTTTATGTCTATGATTTGTTGCTGCTCCCCCTAAAATGATAACAAACATATTGATTTAGTTGCAAGAAATATTGTGTTAACTAACCCCCCCCCCCCCGCGTTGGCTGCGGGGGCGGCGGGGGGGGGCGGGGGGGGGGGTGGGGGGGGGGGGGGGGGGCGGGGGGGGGGGGGGGGGGGGGGGTGGGGGGGGGGGTGGGGGGGGGGGGGGGGGGGTGGTGGGGGGGGGGGGGGGGGGGGGGGGGGGGGGGGGGGGGGGGGGGGTGGGGGTGGG